ACTCGAGCGTTTAAACTATCCAGGCTAGGTTTCTCAAGATACCCACATGCCTCTTGGAGTTTTAAAACCTGGTTATTACTCTTCTGAATTGTTATTTGTTCTCAACGACTGTCAACAGCAGACTGATGGCTATTACTCAAAAAGCTTAGCCTTCCAAAAGAGGTGGTGCGCTCCTGTGGGTTCCTTCAGCTGCCTGTAGATACATCTGTAGAGGTTGGGAAACTCTGCAGGAATTGTAAATCCTGAGGAAACATCTTTGCAAAGTTGTTTTCCTGCATCTTTCAACAAGCCTGGCTGCACAGTGTGATCAACACCTCACTAATGGGCTAGGTTTTAAATAAATGACCTTGTCACTGACACAAACTGATGGGAAGGATGAAGAGAAAGCTGCAGAACGCAATGGAGGCCATGGTGATGAAGGAGCTCTCCCATGACTTTTTGAGGTGATTTTGTCTTGGACAATACACTGGCAGGAATACTCATAGTCCTAAGCCAGGTTTTTCTGGTGCAAAACACTTCCAGTGTGAGGCAGAGCTTCAGAAAAAGCTTCAGCACGTGCACTCAATGCACATGGGGACTATCACATGCACTTGGGTGGTGTGTGCCCACAAAGGATCCAAAGTAGTGGCAAATAGCAGCTCCTCGCCCATGCCATGGGGGGAGGGAAGGGAGAAAGTTGTAAGAGAGACTATTTGGAATTAAAAAATTGTATTTTCTTTTTCCTCAAGAAAATAGGCCAAGGACAATCTGATGTAAATTGCTGCACACAGAAAAAGCAGAGGATGGCACTGGCTCATAACCTCATACTACCAGCAACAGCGCTGGCTCATCTGCATGGACGGAGCTGTGTGATTTTAATGACAATTCAAGCTCACGCAGAGCTCCAGAGTGGAAATCTAAAACCAACCTCCTCTAAAGGCCAGATGTGTTTAACTTCCAAGGTTGTGGTTTTGAGTCTCTCCCTTTTCAGATTGTGGAAATGTCAAGATCAAACTGAAACAGCTCCAGGATTTTCATAGAGAGAGGACAAAGGAACATCCCTGCATGTTCATCAGCACATTGTTCTCAAGAGAATCTCCATGCAAAAACAGAAGAGCTGACCTGTGAGCCCCCACCTTAGGCACTATAAGCACACAGATCTGGGTGCAGTCTCCACACAGCTCTTTTGAAAGTGTCTACTGGGGGGAGTGGGGAAGAAATGGGCAATCTCAGACCGGTGGCCAGCCCTCAGGTACATGCACTCATCAGGCAAATACAGTCCTCTGACATGAGGCAGGGGTCAATCCAGCTCAGAGCCAAGCTCAGGAAATGCAACATCAATCTCAGCTTCCTATGAGAGGTCTGGGGGGCATCCTCCAGGCCATGAAGAGCACAGCATAGATAGCAAAAGGCAGGAAATCAGCTGCATCTTCCTATCCCTCTTCTATAACAAGATCTCCAGTGTCATCTTAGCTTTGAGGGACTCAACTGCTCTGTGCAGCAGCTGAAGTTTAGCTCAGGGCTACTTACTCTTAGAAGTGTCTTTCCAGCTTTCGTCTCATGCAGCCCTGTCCAAACCACTTCTAGCAGGCTGCGTTTGTGTGCTTGCCTGCCAAAGACATTCAATCCATCCTGAAACGGCAGTGCCTTTCCTCCTCATTTGGTGGCACAAATCCATCACCACATCATTGACATTCTTAATGTCAGACCTTCTCTGGTTTGAGTTTTGCTTGCTTTTAGGAGTGCCTTAAACTGAGCTCTCCATGTCCTTTCCACTGATGCTGCTTTCTTCAAAGTACCTTGTCTCTGGTCTTTGGTTTAGTAAAGACCCAAGCTCACTGCACAACAGCAGGGACCATGGAGGAAGCAAGTGCAGAGCAATTCTCTGCCTGTTCTTGCAGCTCTGCCTCACCAGCATGGAAATATTGCCGCTTCTCTGCTCTCCACCCAATTCTCAAAGGTGCAGCTAATAAAGACATTTAAAGGCATGAAAGGAAATGAAAGCACACTGTCCCACTGGAAGCCACCAGGAGCTGGGTATTGAACCTTCATTTGTGCTTTTGGAAGTCTTCCTCCAGGGCTTTAGTGCAGCAGTGAACAACCAATGTGCATCTATTCACTGTTCTTCCCTGCTTATTTCACAGCTTGAAAAGAAACAATGAAACTATGGCCTTCAGCTCATCCACTTTCGCCTGATTTGCCAATTTTTATTGCTGTTCTGTGTTCCAGCATCAGGACTTCTCCTAATTTTACTTTTATTTCCACTGTCAGTGTTCCAGCACATAAATGGGAACAAAGTGCCACCCTGCAGGACACCAGCATCAGCGCTAGCTGGTGCAGGGCTCCCATATAAACTCTCCCATCTGGACGTACAAGAACATTTTATCTGACAGCACAAAGCAAAAGGTGGGGCAGAAGGTGTGCTTCCTACTCTGGCTTACCCAGTTCAACACAGCTTCTGAAGCCAGGACTGTCACTTTATGAGACACTAAGAATATGCCTGTTTAATTACCTCAGTTTCCCTGTTGGCAGAGGGAGGTAAGATCTTCCTCAGTGTCTCAACTCATTAATATTTGCAAATTGTTCTGAGAATATGGGATAGTTGGAACAATTTCCAGGAACGCAAAATGCCAATTCTATTAGGTGCAAGTTGCCATGCTATTAAAATATACTGAGCATCACAATATGTAGCAAATGGGACATCTTGGTTTACATCAACCAAGAAATGCAAAGTGGTTTTGTGCTTCCTAGTTGCTTATTTTATATTTTTTGCCCTGAAAAACTCATTAAGGGAGGGTACTAAGCCAAGACTGAGATGTTTAGCAAGAGTTGTAATCTCTCTTGGAGTTCCCAGCCCACAGGGAAAAGGATGGCCATGTGGGCAAATCCAGCTGCTCTCCCCACAGCTCCACAAAAGGCAGGGCTTTACAGTTTGCTGTTGAAAAAGAGGGATGTGAACCACAGTTACAGCCCTTCTGCACCTCTTAAAGGAGATTTCCAGTCTGTGAGTATACATAAAGAACAGTCTCTGCTCTCAGCCCTTCAAGAGAAGGGGAACAGAAGATGCATTGAATCTCAGCTTCTTTCTACAGAGTGACCAGGGAGAAATTTTATTGGCTCATTCTCCTATAAATGAATCTATTTTGATTTCTTCCAAAGGGTTTACATGGAATCTGTCCTCATTTCTGTCTGGGAGAGCTTTGTGAGAGGCCATTTGGACAAGACCACCGCAATAATTCATGCCATTTGCAGACAATTTGTAAACCCTTACAGTGTCCCAGAATGATTAATTATTTTTCTAAGAATATGAAGTAGTGTGTGTGTGTTTGTGAATATGCATGCTCATGAAGAGTGAAGAAAGGCAGCTCCCCTAAGGCCCAACGGCAGGAATAAAGATCAGCACAGATTTCTTCTTTGTCATGTAGGGGTTTTTTTGGTACTTCAGTTCTTTCACTCTGCCACATTTTAAGTTTTAAGTGAACCCAGAGCAGAAGGTAGCAGTCTTATTTGTTTCCAGGTGTCTTAAAACAGACTCAGTAGACACAGTCTAACATGTCCCAAATGCTTTATCCTGTAAGTCACTTATTCTAATAGTGATCACTGGCCTTGGCTTCAGCCACCCAGGAGAAGAGCAGTTAATGACACCCCTCAACCCAGACAACAAGGCTTAAACTGAATCTCCAGTAAGTTTTCAATATGATTAATTTTATATCAACTTTCAAACCAAACAGCACCTTGCTGGTAGTTCCTGCATGACCAAACATTAACACAAGTGAGTTCAGAACAAGGAACCTACAAATCCTAGGATTTGGAATGATTTCCTAAAAGCTGTCTCAAACATTCTCCATAAATACCCATCCAATACAAACTAATCCCAAAGGGAAGACTCGTGGGAGCAAATATCAGAACAATTGCTGGAACAAATGCTGAGGATTTGCTCAGACTGTAGTCCAAGCCCTCTTTTGCAGCAAGATACAAGAAATAAATCCATGTAGGCTTTTACTAGCTATATTAAGTCTGGAATCTTTTAATATTGAGTGCTTAGACCAGAACATCTCCCCTTTTCACATTATTTAGGCTATTGCTGCAGATGCTAAAAATTATTTGCTCTTTGCTGTTAGATGCAGAGTTGGGTGAGAAATGTTATTTATTTCCCAGTTCAACAATTAGAAAACCATAGCAACACGATGCATGAGAAAAAGAACAGCAATCAAACCCTTTTGATGCTTTTCCTCACTAAACTGATTTTCTGGCAGCAGTAAAGTTGACTGGGCATTCCTTGGGAGCAGCTGATTATCAGGGGACCAGTAGTGAAGAGAATTATGCTTACAACAAGTTTTAAAAGGAAGCGTCCATCCTTCACCAGGTAAGACATTTTCCTCTCCTTGCCCAACCCATGATCATCCCCTTTGATGTTATACTTCATACCCAGTGGTACCTCCCTCAGAAGGTTTTGTTAGTCTGATTTGTCTGGCTAAGAAAATGTCAGCTAAGAATAAATCTGGGAAGGCTGCAAGTACAAACACACAAAAGATTAGAAAACCCCATCCTGTTCTGTGCTTGTAGAGACCAGTCACCCCACATGTTTAAGAGTCCAAATCCCACATGAAGGGAAGGGAAAGTCACGTGTGAGGTTAAACAAATCCAAAGCAAACATGAATATTAGCTTTGTTGTACGGTCCTGTAAAACAAGCTGGGTAAAGTTACTCTTTGGTTGGTTTGGTTATCAACATCTCTTGCCATACTGCAGTGACCCATTTGATGTTAATTTCGCCACTACGCATCAGCTTCTGTTGTCTCTCCAGCTTATTGTTAGCATCAGTATTAAGCTGCTCTAGCAGGAGATATGATTAGCTTGTTTTTAACCCATGCTTCCACTGTGAAAAAACCCTGAGATATATAATACAAATAATAATAAGAATTCTAGACAGTCTAAAGAACCTTTGGGACAGCCGTGCAAAACCAAAGTTGCAATGGATGGAAATGAAGCCGATTTCTTTAAAACTCATAACTTATCCTACCTTGCTGGCTTTAAGTATCTCAAACATCAGAGGCAACCCTTGTGTGATGAGCTCCTCTGTGTACTCTTCTTCCTGGATGGACTTGAATTCCTTTAGCAGACACTGGATGAGGGGTCGTCTGTGCTGCTGGAAGGATGTGCGCAAGGACTCCAGCCATGTGTGCAGTGTCCAGGGAACACCTATGGACAGAGGACAAAGCTCGTTCCCAGCTTTGGAGAAGAAAGTGCCCTTCTGCTTTTTTACCTTTACTTATGCTAAGATGTTAAGTAAAAGCTGCCAAATAACCCTAGAAATCATATTCCTATTTTTTCCCTGGTTGAAAAGGCTGGTGGTTATCAGGACATTACACAGAGGCTTTCCTCCAAATGCTAGAAGACTGTGGTCTCTCTGCTCATCTAGCTTTCAGCTTCTCTGCTGAGACTGCCAATTTGTGGTAATTGCTGTGGTGCTCTGTGATGCGAAAGCCTTTTGGAAACCAGATTTACACTAGCTCATTTGTTCAAATGCAGCCCTGGAGAGCCATTAAATGGTAAAAAAACCCCAATTTTGGCCACTACCCACCTGGATTCAGACTGGTGGTCTCCAGATTAAAACTTTCTTTAGTGCTACTCCATGTCCTCTCCTGATCATTACTATTTTCCCTAAACAGCACTGGGCGAGTTCAGCAGATCAGCCTTTTCAAGTAGTTTGTTGTGGCAGAACCACTCTCCAGGAACTTAAAGGGAACTGCTCCCATACAGTGAGCAAGAAAGCACATGGAGCTAATGTACCTCTGCAGGCATTAGGCTGGATGTGACCTAGTTTCTGCTCTTGCAGAACGAAGCGGGAGGAAACGCAAGCCTCTTGTTTGGCTGCAAAAGGTTTTTCCTTCCATTTCAGCGAATGCCCAGTGCCTGGAGAGCAGCCCTGTTGCTCTCCTCCTGTTCATCACCAGGGTTTGCCTGCTTAGCCCACTCTGTGAGCCACTCCTCAGACTGCCCCACACCACACATCCCCGGAGCTGGAGCACCGCACCAGGCAGAGGCATGCCAGGCACTTGGGTCTCTCCGAATGCAGATCAATGGCAATGGGAAATACACAGTCCAGATCAATTCCCCTCCATGCTATCCAACCACCCTCCCCACGGGCAGAAACAATTCCCAGCAGGCTGGTATGGTGTTCAAGCCCTGCTTTGGCAGAGTTGTCACAAGAAGAAGGCAGTTCCCTGCCCATACCCTCAGAAGCTCACAAATCCCAGAAAATAAAGATGTTTTAATGGTGGACTGCCTTACAGCAGAGTATGAAAGAGGAGCTGTCAGAGATGGCCCAACCACTGAGCCAAACACTGCCTCAGAGCCTTATCTAATGCTCTGCCATGCAGCAGTGAAGATGGCTGCTAGTAGAAATCACTCTGTCCTGCAGAAATGTGCCAGTAGCCCCTGAATGGGGCATGCTGTAGAGCTGAAATGGGCTGCGTACCTGCCAAATCCCCCATCACCTGCTTCCACAAGAGCTGAGAAAGGTGAAACCCTGCTTGGTTTAAGCAACAGTCCATTGACAAATGCATTTCTTTCAGTGATCCTTTCCCGGAGGGAGAGGGGAGAGGGTGCTGGGACTGACCTATGCTCCGTATGTCAATGGTCACATCCACGTAGCCGTGCTCAGCGCTGTGGTACATGGCCTCCTTCAGGGCTTTCAGCTTGGCCTTGCTGTTGCGGCTGGCACAGAGCGGAGCTGCTGCTGAGTCGGGTAAGTCCGTCCCCTCAGCCAGGATCTCCTCCAGTGACAGAATATCGCTCTTCTCCTTCTCTGGCTGAGCAAGCAGCTTGCGAAAGACGTTCCTGTCAATCACAGCATGACAGACAGGAGAGAGGGAAGGAGAAGGCCGGAGAGCAGAGTCAGTGGCTAAGCTTTTGTAGTGCCCAGCATACTTGCTGCAACATGGCAAGTTAGAACACCTATCCGGGATATTACTCCAATTAATGGCAGAATCAGCTGAGAGCAGACTAGAGACAAGCACAGCTCCTGCTAGCCCACCTGCACTGCCTGGGCCATGTCTGCTGTTGTGACAGGAACCATACAGATGTTGCACAAGTGGCATCATCTCATGGGAACAGAGACCCATGAGCTAAATGTGACTCAAGACTTCTTCCCACAGTCAGGGAAGGCTGAGGTGTCTCTGGACAAGATCTCAGGACTTCCACCATGGAGGCCACTTGAGAAAGGAGCTGCCTGGAGCTACTGAAAGCACCACCACTCGATTAACACACAAAGCGGTCTGGGAAAGCTGGAGCAACTAGACATTGAACAAGGCCAGTCAGGGCAGGTTCGAGCACATCTGAGACCACTCTGCAAGGTAAAGTGCCATCAAATAGCAAAGCCCAAACTCAGAGACTTGGTGCCCTTAGGTTTGTACCAGTTTAACCTCATCAGTCTCAACAGAGTCACTTGGTTTTGCAGCTGTGAGAAAAGAAACCAGGCTGGGCCCCATCCCACTTTGCTCGTACTCCAATGTCCTCCCTTCAGTTGCTCAGTCCCCATCACGGGGAGGCAGCAAAGCATGGCATGTCCCAGACAAATTTAGGGCAGAAAGGGAAGGAGGAGGGAGTGTGTGTGAGCACTGTACACACAGGAACGTAAGAGCCAGGGCCTGAGACATTCACAGCTGGCAGCCAAGCCGAGGAGAGCCCCAGGTCCTCCTCCGGCACATGGCTCCCACTCATACCAGCTGAGTGTTGAGACTCCAGTAACCAAACTGTCCTCTCTGTCCCAGGGATCCCCCACAGGCTCCAAATGGGCAATGTTGTGCAAACCCACCCTGACATGCCATTAGCAAGTTGTTAGACTGGCAGCTCATCTCTAAGCAAACAGACGGTAGGTACTGTCTCTAACCTGTATCTATGTTCCTCTGGATGGCTACAATCAGAAAAGTAGGAACGTGAAGATCATAATACTAATCCGTTAACACTGCAGTCAACTCCTGAGTGTTGCAAGATCATGCATGCCAGGTGCTCGTTTCATTGCCTTTTTTTTTAGGTTTACAGCATACATACAACATTAAGACATACAGGACTTTACGGTAAACAGAGATGCAGAAACTGTATTCAACAAAAATTAGGGCTGCAGCAGTACAGACATGATTCGCTCAAACCTGAGAAACATATCAAGAAATTCAGAAGGAATGCTCTTGGCATTCCTTTCAGTCATCACATCAGCTGCCATTTAACAACCATTGCATTGCGACACAGCATGAGGACTGCCCTCCCTCTTTTGTTTCAATCAGATAGCAAAAAGCAGCTTGTACTACCAACTGGTTAAAATCACATGCTACCAAAAAGCCTTACATCTCTGCTCAGTTGGTGGCATGTTCAATTGTTCATGCAGAACTTGCACCCATCTGCTCAAACCGGATGTCCAGGCAAAAAATAAGCACTTGAAGGATGCCACTAGACTTGTTCCCACTCTACCTGTGTCCATGTGCAGCAGCCTGACTGAAAGAGTTCATGTCACCTTGTGGAGTCATGGAAATGCCGTTCCTGTACATTGTTCCTATCATGGGGTCAGCTCCTCGCTCCAACAGCAAACTGACCAGTTCAAAATTTCCTGCAAGTCAAGAGAGTCAGTTTTACTTCTTTCACAGTCCAGTGTTTATTCATCTAAATCACAGATTCTGACTGAAGAATTTATTACAGTGGGAGGAGAAAGTCCTTACCAGCAGCTGCTGCCAACTGTAAAGGAGTTTCAGAGTAGTTTTCTTCTCCATGCTCCAAGGAACCTTCTACTTTTGCTCCAGCATCCAGCAACAGCTAGAAAGAAAATTCACTGTTTAGAGCAACTGGGGGTATCACAGTCTTCAGAATTCATGAACAGGGACGAATGAGAGTCTAATGCTTCTTGTTATCTGCAAACCAGATATGATGGAGACAAGTGACATGCAAATTCTGCCCATTGTTTCACACAGGCAAATTCATTCCTTTTTTCGCTCAGTTTACGCTGCTGGACACCAGGAGCAGTAGTGTCCAACTTCAGAGCCAAAAAAGTGTAACCCAGTGTTTCTGAATGGGAAATGGGGTAAGGTCAGTGTTAGGAAGTGATGCATAGAAGATGAAAGTACTGAAAATTAACCCAGCAGGAATCCTTCCTTCATGGTCTTCTAGAAGCCCAGCACCATCCTAAAATCGATCAGATTTCAATTTCCTCCATCTTTATATATAGTCATGGCCAAAAGAAAGGCAATTCTTAAGAACCAATTGCAGCAATCAGTCCAAAAGTTGTGATCTCCATCAGGGACACTTGCACATACATAACAACAATGCAGAAAACAAAAGCTGGCAAGTTGAGCAGGACGGAGCCTGTGCTCCAGCCCTGTCTTGGCCATTTCTGTCTTGAGACCTTCACAGTTTTGGTGCTTCATTAAGTGTGCCATAGACAAGCTGTTTTGAAGAATAAACCTTCTCAACTTTCAAGATGCCAAAGCACAGAACCAGCATATCCCATGTGACACCTCAATGGGGTAAGGAGAGCGAGTGATTCTCCCCATTTGGAACAGCACAAGGGCTGGTGTCGACCTCTTCCCCACCAAGGCAGCTGTTTGGTATTTGCTAGAACATTATAGTGTAAGAAAGTGTAATGAATGAATAAACAAACATATAAAACAAGTGGTCAGGAAGGAGCACAAGGAGTTGTCAGACTTTTTTTGGTGCAACTTTGCTTTAAAATTGTCCGTTTAAACCTCATATTGGTTAAGGTTTGAACACTGTATTTGCTATATAATAGGTCTATTATATATCAGTACACTCTGGAAGAAGCAGAAGTAACCAATATAAGTATGACAAAAGGATACTGGTTTGAGATGGATGTAATTAGAACTGAAAAGGAGAAACAAAAGAATGAGATGCAGGTAGGGAAATACAATAATACCTGAACTACAGGAATATGTCCATGCAACACAGCAAATGTCAGAGCTGTCCAATGGCGGGTCTCAGGGTGGACGGATGGGTATTTATGAGCAGTACTGACAACCTACAAACAAATTAAAGTTATTTTTTTTTTAAAGAGCTATACGTAATAAAATTCAACCTGCCTGAAAGCCAGGCATGTGAGGGAGTGAGAAAGAAAACCTGGGAAAGGTGCTTTATAAAATTATTGGCTTCGTTTTTTTCCTGCAGAAATTTTCTCAGTATTAAATCTGTGCTGATTTGACAGCTTGAATAGAGTTCATACCAAATGAAGTCTTTTTACCAACTACTGTAGCTCCATCTAAACCACTGGCCACCGGATTCTTTTGCACAAGGTCAAAAACATCCACAGCTGGTTACAACAGCACACACTGGGGAAGCAGGGATGGATCAGGACACTTACAGCTAAGGACCGCTCCCACTGACTTGTCCAGGCCACGTATCAACAGCCCTGGGTCTTGGGATTGCTCCAGGCCCAAAGAAATTCTTTCCACGTAAATCATTATCACTTTGTCACTGCCGTCATAAAAGACACATCACAAGCCCTACCCTAGAGTTCACAGGCGTGCTTCTGGGAACCTCCTCTGTTACCAGAGGAAAAAAGACACCTGAGAAGTGATGGGGCAGAGTGGCACTTCAGGAAAGTTTTAAGAAAACTCCTTTTACTGCCTTCTCCCGTCTGAGTTAAAAGAGCGGAGTGGAGACACATAAAAGAGATGCAAACTACATCCTTGGAAAACGAAATGGTATTTTTCAAACTGCTCCTTCCATTTTCTATGCCTTAGTGCCTGATGCATCTAATGTAGACATTGGGGAAGACAAATAACCACTCTTTGCTTCAGTTTCCCTGTCTTAAAGATGGGGGTATTAATATTGATGAGGTCCACAGTGATGGTAAAATCTAATGAATGTCTGCAGTCCAAGGCTGTACACTCAGATGGAGTGTGACACTAAAATTCAACACCTTATTATTCATCTTCAGAGGAGGACTAAAATCAGAGTAAAAGATGCACCATCTCTGTTTCATCAGCCAGCTATGCTTTCACCACGATGTCTGAAGCACGTTTATCCACGTAGGGGAGCAGGAGCAGTTATTAAATGCTCGGTTGCGTTAGCAGCTCACATTTCCAAGCGCCACATGCAGTGTTTTGCTAGAAGCACACGACCAGGCCCTCAGCCCCAAGGAGAGGGATGAGGGCAAAATCTGAATAGCCCATGCAGATCCTGCATTTTGCCAGAGCAGCAGATCTGCACCAGCACCTGGGTGTTATCGCAGAGATGTGCCAAAGAGAAAGCTCAAAGTGCAACAAAAGAGTGCTGGCCTCTGAGAAAGGCTTCTTTAGGTCTGGGTTTGTTCAGAAGGAAGAAGACTGAGCAGCTCGAGCCTTGGGGTTTAGCCTGGGGAGCAAGAGCAGCAGAGGGTGAGGATGGGCAGGATCAGGGTTTAGCAAATGTATTCCAGCTCCTCCTCAAGCACTGATTCCCACCACTGTTCGGGGCAGCCCATGGAAAGCGGCAAAGAAAATGAAGTCATTTTAACTCCTTTGCTCCTTTTTTGGGGTCAGAGCTCCTTCCAGTTGACAGGGTGTTTGCAAAAGACCTGTTGTTGACCAGGCTTTTAAGGCCTCCACTGAGATTTGCTGAGCAGCTACAGGTCCCACTGACTCCAGAGCAAACTGCAGCATCTCAGCACATCTGGAAATGAGTCCATTTTTTGCTAAAGATGGGCAATCAGAAAGGGAGGCACCCAGCATTTGAGGCTACTTTTGGAAACATATATATATATCACTGATTTGCAAAGTGAAAGGGGAAAATGATGCAGGCACCTGACAGAGTATTTATTTTTGTTCGTGGTTGATTTGCCTTTTTTTCCCCCATAATTGCCCAATTTGCACAGTTGGTTGTGGTGTGCACAAATCGTCTTATAATTGCACACCATAATTATTCACAGTTCTTGTCCCAAAGTGTTTTCATTTGATTTCAGAGCAAACACTCTACAGAAATGAATCAGGGAGGTTCACATTCGTCACTGGAGCTGTTCTCTCAGATGTCAGCAGATTCAGGAAGACAAAACTGTTTAAATTTGCATTTGATTGAAGTCTGGAAGATTACTGGAGCAATTGGGAGAACTGCTCCTAATGGAAACTTGTCCTAGGAACCAAATAATGCCACTCACCTCTGAGCCACAGACAGGGTTAAAGGAGAGATCAGTCTCCAGGCCCATGCAGTATCTGGTGTGCCTATCGAGAGTTCTAACAGGGATTCAAGTTTTCAGTTACTGCCAGCTCTTGAGGGTGGTATGCTTGAATTTCGGGAACTGAAATCATCAGCTGATTTCACATAAGCCACCAAACAGCAATCAGATAGTAATGACTATCAGTCTCTTACAGGTGACATCCATTTCTACTTTTAAATTAGATTTTTCAGAAGTGCAAAACGTCTGGCTGAAAGCAGTGACTACAATTTATCAGCTCATTCAAGTCCAAACAGAACAGATGGAACACAGATAAGTGAAGCAGACAGCTTAATTTACTCATGACCTCAACAAATTGAAACTGGAGTCATTAACAAATAAATAATTCTTCTGCGGATATTCAAATGGCTCTTTAAAAATGTACATACCTGCACTGCGCAGAGCTGGACCACAGTCAACAGATTGTGTAAGTGGACAGATTGTGTAAGTTTGTGATGTGCATTCGTCAGAGACGCTGATATTCTGAAAGCTTCAAACTCCTCATCCAACAGTTTGTAGCCTGAGGCACTTTGTCAAAGCAGTGGGACCTACATTGTGCTTGTGTGCTGGGGATGCTTAGCTGGAACATCCCAATGTGCAGAAATGCTCAAGCTTTGGCAGATTATCAGATGGGTATTTCTTTTACCCTCTTCATTTTTATTCAGCTGACATTCAGGGAGTCCTTCCAATATCATTAGAGCCGTGCTCCGTGCTAGTGCTAACGCCTGCATTCATTTCCAGTGCACAAACACAACTAAATCAATATTACCTGTGGGATATGTACGATGACTTGACCCCTTCTGTGCAGTGAATCCCAATGTTAATCTAATGCAGTTTGATTTCACTATTCATTTCAAGTGGTGCTGTCCAGGGTAAGACACGTTTCTTTTTAATTCTTGGGATTTTCCCTCCAGTATGGTTTCAGGGGGTAGTTTAAGATGTAAACAAATAACAGAACAAAGATACAACCAACAAAAGTCCTCACCTCAGCATTCAGATCTGCTCCAGCATCTAGCAGCATCTGCACCATAGCCTCATCACCCCTGACACAAGCATACATCAGTGGAGTCATGCCCTAGTCATTTGTTGGAGTTAAAAAACAAAGGAATTGACAATTTTAACACAAAACTCTGTTTGATTTTTTAAAACAATTATTTAAATATATATAATCAAGACTAACAGTACGCATTTAACAAAAGCCATTACCTCTATTACAGACATGCCCCTCAGACCATGGTAACCATTTTTGTAAAATCTCCATTTTTTGTTGTCATGTTGACTGGCTTTGGGTTGGGTTTTTCTTTTTCACATTATTCTCAGCATCCTCAACATGGTGAGTGAAACTAGGGCTTGTCTGCCTCACCTCTATCTTTGTATAATAAACTGAACATCTGTGTCTTTGGGGCCCCAGCAAAGAAATGTTTTTATCAAAGCAACCAAATTTCCACTGGTATTTAAAAAGACAATAATTCTATTCAGTTTTCTATAATAACAGTTTCATAAAATATAACTTCTTAATTACCAAAAGACCCTTTAGAAACATCCCAAGCTCCTCTTAAGGTAGGTTGAATTTGGGCACAGCTTTTCAGAGTGAATATGCTTAAGGAGGTAGAAATGTAAAGGCTTCGTATAGCACTCCCTAGCAAACAAAGACTTAATTTTAACTGAAATGCCAGACAGCATTGTTGCAACTTGTGGGTTCCAGGAAAACATGGCCCTGTTTGGAGAAAAAGCAGATTAAGTGACCCTTTGCTACAGAACCAACACAATGCAATTTGTATTAATCTGAAATACCTGCTACGGCTCATCAACATTTCTCCCTTAAGGTAAGTATTACTGTGGCTGTGGTAATGAGTCCAGAGAAAACCATGAGAAAAAAAAATCATTAAATCTACTGTAAATTATAACAGAAAAAGCTGCTTATTAAATACAGTCAGGGGGTGTTAATCAACAGCCACCAGTTGTTTTGCAGCAGATCTACCACAGCACGCAGCTACCTCTGATGCATCTTTATAGCCTACCTTGAGCTCTCCTGGTAAATTTGCTTTCTGATGATAGCCTGTCTGCTGCTCAACCTGAGTGCTGCCATTAAGTGTTTTCCAGAGAAACTGGAGGTGCCCAGCATGGCCAGACACAGCACCACAACACAGAGGTCTTCTTAGCAAGAGACCAGCACCACGCTTTTGCTGAACTACCTCATTTTTCTGATTGCATTCAGAGATAAAGGTTGTGGGTGCTTATGTATGGAAGGGCTGCTCTTCTAGAGAAAATGTAAATTAAGGTTTGTCCTTGTAAGGTATTTCATGCCCCCTGCAACAGACTGAGCATTTCATAGGATCAAATCTGCCGTCTACTTACGGAGGCACAGAATAAGGGAACAGGCGTTTAGGGTCTCATGCCATTATTAGAGGAAACAAGCTCACCCCAGGCAAGGAGAGTTCTTTAGTGACTTCAAGTTACTTGCAAAGAGAATTTGAAACTCCTTCAGCTATAGTCAGTGGCAAAACGTTTCCTTTGGCAGTCAAGAAATGCTACAGGAACCATGAGAATTACAAAAAATAGTGTTTGGGCCTTGAAACATGGGGATGGGATGGCAGCTTAAAATTAAATACACGCTCCTTCAGTTGTTTTTTCAATTTCTCTAAGTGGCATCACCGCATAATTAAATCAAGTGTTTAGCATAAGGGGTCTAATCAGATCTGAAGAGAAGTATTTGAAAGCCCTGTGCTGGGTCCCCCCCCGGCAAGATGCAGCACATGGAAAGCCATGGCAAAGCGCCCCGCAGTAATACTCAGGGCAAAAGGTCTGCCTGGGGACCACAGGGGGGTATTTTGGCCCTGATGAAACTGAAGGACTTAAAAGGGGCCCAGAGTGTCATGCTGCAGTGTCAGGGTTTTAAGGAGTTAATGAGGTTTCTAACCTCCCTTTCCCTTGCACTGCTATCCCTGCTGCATCTGCCTCTGCCAGCATCCCCAGCCTTGCTCTGCAGCTCAGCCTTCTGCTACAGCATCATTCAGCCCCACTCTCTTTGCATGTGGGAGGAATGGATTTTTAATGAGCCCATCATTAGTGTTCAATGCACACACAAGGCAGCAGCTACCTGTACAATCAACACAATAGCATTTGGCTTTTGGCAAAATAAAAAAATCACCCTTTCTCTTTTACCCTTGTATCACTTAGGGCTCTGTTCTGCAAGATGTGAGATCCTACAAGATGTGAGATGTTTAAGCACAAGCTTAACTTTCACTCAAACAGGATGCAAGCATGTGTTCAGTGTTAAGCATATGATTAGGTACTTTGATGAATCAAGCCAGAGTGTTCCCAGGTTTCCGTCTGGAGGAAAGAGGAAATATGGTGTGAAAAGTTTCCAGGTTCAGACTAACTTAAAGTAATAATAATTTTTAAAAGTATAACGTATGAACTTTGGAATGAACAGTCTGGTTTGGGTTTTGGGTGGGTTTTTTTTTGGTGGATACTTCCCTTTTCTAAAGCTTTTCTTGAACAAATCCATAATATTGACTCAGACTAAAGCTATTGAACAGCAACATAACTCACATTCCTGTAGCAGCTTTCATTTCAGAAGACCTAAACCTACTAAGACTCCAGCTCCTGACCCAAGCAACCACCTCAGGGGGCAGCAGCCACCTGCCTCCTGCCAAAGAAGATGCTCACAGCTATAGGAATACGCAGTGACACTTCCATCAGGGGCATCAGAAAATTCAGGGGGCTCTGTTTCAAAAGGGAACAGTAGTATCCATGGCCATCACTTCCCTCTGGGAAGGGGGAAACACCCCAGTGAGTATCACAGTCCAACAGACTGCTGTTGGTAGGCAGCTGCAGAGGCAAGCTTATCCCTAGCCACAACCACCGCCTCAATGGAGGAGCAACTCCAGAAAAATATGGGCTTTGTAAATTGGTGTATGTTGGCTGCGATGAGCAACAGAGACACTTTATCACATCTGGAAGGTCAGTTCAAACTGGGCTGAGCTCAGTTAAAGACTGCCAGCAATTAATTGTTTCCTGCTGGGGGTTCGGTGGTGCACATGAAATGCACTGCAGACCCAAGGGCAGTGTTCAGTGGAAGGATGTTCACCTCAAAAGCCCTGCCCTAAACCACTGTTCATGGCCCTGAAGCAGCTTTAAGTATTCAGATCAACACTAAGCTCTCTTGGGATCCTCTGGCTTCACATGGTTCAGTTCACTGTTAAGATTTCAGGGGATGCATCTGCCTTCATGCTGAGTTACCTCAGTACCACTGAAACATCAATGCAATTCAAAACTATCCAACTTAATGTAGATGTTCACCTGGCAGTGCTTTAACTCAGTGCAAAGTAATGCAGAGAAAGCACTAAGGTCCTGTCTATGTTTAGGTGAAAGCTGGGGCTCATTTTGTGTGATAAGCAGACAAAACTCTTGCATTTCAAAGTTGGTTCTTTAAATTTCTATCTCATTACCTGTTCACTCATGCTGTTAATCCCATCCGGCCCCAGCAAGGATATGGCTTGTTTAACCAGATCTGTTCGGCCACAGTTGAGCATCCGGAAACCCAGGTCCTGCTTGAACTTCGCTTCAGTGGCAACTGCATCCAGTTTCCGAGATGCACAAAAACAGTCGTCGATTCTGTGGATGTGAGAAATAAACTCCCTCAGAGGACAGTCAAAGGACAGACCTCACTGTCCCCAGGAAAATAATACTTTGCCCTATGTATGAAGGATGTAGGTCATGCACACATTCATTCTCCTTTGACCTGTATGTTCCAGAGAAGCGATGAATGGGAAATGCTAATGCAAGCTAATGGAGATTGCCCTTGGTCTATATTTCATGGGACAAGTTACAGTTTTTATAAAAAAATGGGGAAAAAAGGCACAGCTTTCACTTGATTCTGTTTCCCTGTTTAAGCAATGCACAGCCAATTCTCACTGCACGTTTTCTTTCTGCATGGCAGAAAGATCCAGTCTCCCTGATCCCTGAAAAAGTTTCAGCAGCTTCAATAAGCTTTGAACTTACATCAAATGGGTGTATAATCATTGAAAATACAACAAAGAGACAATAATGTCACTTCAAGCAGTTTCAAGGATTTTATTAGCACAGAAAGTACAATGTGCAGAATCCCAGACTGGCTGAGGTTGGAAAGGACCTCTGGAGGTCATCTGGTCCAATTACCCTGGCCATGATATCCTGTAGGTCAGCGTATCATGCGATCAAGGAGAAGGCAATTGGGCCAGGTAATGTTGGCAAAGCACCACAAATCCCTGCTGGCTGTGTCTAACACATGAGATGTCACTCTATTAAGGTCTTATGCAAAAGATTTCCAAACGGTAAACTCTCAAGACATCAATTTCAAATGGAAGAAGGGCTTAGAGTTATTTAGCCAAGATGTGAATCTCAGAAATTCAAATCTGATGTTTATCCAGCTTGGCTTCATCTTATTAGAAGACAGATTTGCTTTTCTTTCATGCTGAGGAGTGTCTGGGGCAGAGGTTGGAGTCCAAATCCAGTGGTTTTGGTGTGAACTTAGACAAAGAACTGTTTAGAAAAACATCACTTTCACTGTCCAAAAATGCTAGGTCAGAAAACAAGGGGCTACTTACGAATGGAAAACAAAATAAAGATCACAAGTGAGAGAAACAAAAATACATCAAATATTTGTTTTCTGTTTCATATGTAAAAAAATGCAGCAAACGAAAAGAAAAACATAAACAGCACATCATTGTAATTTAGATTTTTTCTTCAAAGTACTTTATCAGAGCTTTATAAAATATATAACACTGCTTAATATTTAACAGCAGTATGGAACACATATGCTGTTTATGTAGAAGCAGTGGTATGTAGTAATAGCTACCACTTTTCCTCTTTCATCAGAGGAAGGAAAGGGAGATGGAAAATACGAAGTATTTTGATCAAAGCTTCTGCAGGACTTAGTACTGAAACTGGCATCTGAGCTCAAGCCTGCTCTCTGCTGTGCTGGGCCACAGCAAGTCTGCAAGACAACAGACACATGATGATGTTAATTCTATGTGCTCAGTTTGCCTTTAGACTGCTAAAAAGTTGTCCTAAGAATGCAGACAAGGTGTGCTTGGACTATTGTTACTCAGGGGAACAAGGATGGTGCTTCATCACAACAGTATGCTGCAAGATTAATACACAGCACTCACTCACAAAGAAAACACCGTAACAGCAATAACAAATTTTGCAGCAGTAATATGCCTACAACAGAGATGAAGAAAGCAATGCACAACAAGGTTTCTGGAGTAGGTTCTGAGTGGGTTTAAGGAAAAAGCAAAACCAGCACAGACTTGCAGGGCTGAGCTCAACAACACCAAGATCCAAGGGACCAATTGCGGCTTAACACATTCACACCGTATGGCACATTTCTGACACAAGAGCTAGAGCAACATTTGGTACTTGTTACCCCCATAGCATGTGATGCCAGAGATCATCTGTGCCCTCCTTACACGTATGGCGAAGATAAAGCATGCTCAGAAGTTAGGTGGTAGGGGTTTTGGGTGGACAGACAGAGAGTCTAGCCCTCCCAGCTGTAGCTGGCCATTTCCAGATGACTCTGGGATGAAAACAAGGTGGCTTCCCAGCAAGATGCAGCTATGGAAAGATCCAGACATCCTCTGAGGACTGCAGAGGTGTCTGCTACTATGAATCACTGCCTATGTGAAGTCACTGCTTCATCATTTGTACCGAGGTATATAACATACGCTCTGAGTAAAATGGGTCAAACTCAGAGCTGGCAGAAAGAGACAGAGCTTTCACTGACGTCAAGCCGAGCTCGGTACATGCAAAATGATAGTTGATGATCTCCTCTTTAAAAGAAGCCAGATTTTGACCTGGGTTGCACGCCCACACAAGGGAGGAAGGAGGAACAAGGACCAATCTCACTCATCCTATATGGGCTGCCCAGATCACTACTCTGGCATAAGTTCAGAAATTACATAGTTCTCCTTAAGTAATTCAACCATGAGTTGTCTCTGGTCCCCTAAAAACCTATCAGCCCACCTGCATACTATAGCCAAGGAAGGGGACTCATTAATTACTGCTGATACTGGGTACCAGCAGATCAGTACTCCTCAATCAGTGAGGGGGTGTGTTTTGGTCCAAGGGCTCCAGGATGCTACAGATGTACAAACTCTGCAATAGTAACATGGATGCAACAGAACACCTGGGTTGAACAGCTGCTAGGATGCCAGCACTAATACTAATGAAATGTCACCTAGACCAAATACCACAAAGCAATAAACTACAACTTAGTGCAGCTTCCAGTGCCCCACTGCCTTTTTATACCCCACAAAGGAACTGTCATGAGTGAGCTACAGCCCTGATTTATGGGACAAAGAAAAGGAAACTATACGGCAAAATTTGACATGATCATTGCCGGTGCCAACACTGTCACCTGTTGACTAATAAAATGGATAGTGATCAAACTGAGAAGTTTAATAAAACAAGAGGATGACGCAAGGGAAAGGAACAGAAGAGAAAGCATAACGTCTCGAAAAGACAGAGAGATGAATGAGTTAAGGAAAAAGAGATTTAACATGTACAGATTAAAAGCAGCATAGAGATAGATCAAAAATGATCAGGAACTACAAGTACAGAATAGGAGAACACAGCATCACTTTTAACACTGGAAAAAGCCAACTGGGAAGACAGTACAGCAGACAGACTGAGCAGTGCCACTGCAAAATGAAAACCGAAAAATCAAAAAACCCAGCCCCCCAAATCCATAAAAAACCAACCCTAAGCCACCACAACACTGCATTTGTTTTAAGTCCTCTTTCATACCATTAACTACATAATGTTGATCCCAAAAGGAACAGAGGGCCTCTGCTCCATAGTACACTGTATAAGGGGATGCTGCTCCATCAAAGACACTATCCAGAATCACAAATGTTAAAGGATGCAAGATACAAAAGAAGGAAGGGAATAGGCACCCAGGCTTGATTCACTCAAGACTTCTTATATTTGGACTGCAACAAATATACTGACAAGCTAGGAAGAGGTGAGAAAGAGACATGAAGAAGCTTGAAAAATAAGGTTGACAAGGAACAGTGAAGTCAGCTAAATATGTAGGGTCACTTTTTAGAGTTAGGAAACTGTGCCTGCAAAGCAAGGGAAGCCAGTGTAAGCACAGAGCTGGAAACCTCCCCAGCTGCAGAGCCGGTTCACAGCCCTTTTGCCAAAAAGCCTTTGTGATCTTTCCAAGCACACAGGAGGCTGACACCAGCCTGACGGTGCAGTGTCCCCTCCAAGGCCACCTTGGTTGGTTGCCAGATTCTGCCGCTGTCAGCATTAACATGGGTCATCCTTTCCCCAAGACCTCATGCTGCATAAAAGGTGTTTTTCATCAAAGGGGCAGGGAAAGCTGACAGGAAGGAGGAACAGAAGACTATGAGCTGCCAATGTTCTTCTCCCTGTCTTCTCCCCTGAGAGAGTCTCAGGATGGCAGGACATTACCATCCCAGATGCTGGCTGGGTGAGGCTAACTCTGAGGTTGCCAGAGGTGATACAGTGGCAAAGATAGGACTGACAGGCATCCTTTGAGGCTGGTTATCTTATCTCAAAAGACTGAGCTCACTCTGGTTTTCCAGAGCAACCCGTGAGGCTCGTCAGGCTCCTTGGCACCACCATCCTGTACACATGCTCCCACTCCCACAACTGAGAAGTAGTATACCTGAATTAATAACATACACTGATCACGGTCCTCGTGCTCAACAGCAAACCCCCTTCTAATTCAGGGATTCAATCACACAGCCTGTAAACTCCCTAAACGGCCCCTCCCCACCTTGCATCAAGCAAACAATTGCCTTTGTAAATAAAAGGAAAATTAGAAACTGGCGAAATTGTTCCTGATTTTATATTTGTAGCAAAGCTGTGGCCGTATTTTTCAACTTACAATGCAAAACAATTTTCTCTGAGTCCACTTTCAATTCCTCACAGATACTGCTTCTACGGCAGTCATCTTCAAGATCATTAGTGCTGCCACTGCACATAATTAACTTTACTATGGCTTTATATGGGGAATGCCATGGTAACATTAATTATTTGCAAACGGTCACTGTCAAATGCTGCATGGTGACCATGATGACACTCTGTCATACTCTGAAATACTCAATCCTCTGAAAGGAGTCAAAGATAATCTTCCTTTATAATGGATCCTAGCAGTACAGCAAATTATTTTTATCTTTTCCCAAACTCACATTGTGAAAACACAATGCAGCACTTCTATAGCAACAGTTTAAGTGCAAGAGTTTGATTTTGTTGGATTGGTTTTGGCTTTTTGGTTTTAGTTTTAGGGGTTTTTTTCATTTTAATTTAGACTGGCTAAGAATCTGTGCGGACCTTTAATGAGTTAGTCGTGGATTGAATACATTTGGGAAAATGGATGATTCAAAGGCAAAGTCCTTCTATCGTAACTGGTAGACACAGCAGTTCTCTTATTGCATAGCTTTTTAATTATTTGTTCTTTGGGGTGGATTATGGCTGTAATCAGTAGTGGACAATTAAAAAAAAAGAAAGAAAAGGCAATGCTCTGTAAATGTTACCAAAAAAGACGAACATCTTAATCGTGTTCTAAGCTATAGCATGCTAATAACTGATTTAAAAGAAATGGG